CTCTTGTGGCAGTTCTGAGTTAACCTGATTTGAAATGAATTGTGAAACTGTGCTGTTAAGTTTGGAATGCATTGCATTTGCCTTTATACCTTGAACCCTCTACTTCTAAGATGCAAAAGTGGTGTTCTCAAAAGAAATTGAGTAGCTGGAGTTCCTTAAATCATCATTTTGAATGTCAGCTCTGTATACGGGAAGATTTTGCAACAAAGATACAGTACAGTCCTTGTAATGTCCACTTAAGAGAGTATGGGAAAATACCAAACATCAGTGGCGGAAAGAAGATGACGAAAGAATGAAATTGTCTTTTTCAAATAGTATTTCTGGCTTAGGGTTTTCCTGTCATCAAACTTGCATTTTAATTGGGTTGTAAACCACCGTATGGCTCGTAAAGTGTTTTGTACGGTATGTAGGGAAATGCTAATTCTTGCAAACGTTTCCAAAGACAAATAGTGCTTATGTCTGGTTTTTATTCTTACGCCCATTCAGCAGCCAGGGTCAGTATGGCTTCATTATAAATTTAGCATAGTAACCAGAAAATCTCTCTTCTGAACTTATTATACGCTTACTCTAATCTTTCTGGAAACTCTAGTTCTCATCATTTCAGCCCATATGCTCTTTTCTCCAGTGCTCTGGGAAGAGAGAGATCTCAAATTAACTCTGAGGTCAAAAAATGAATGCTCTGAATTGAAGCTTGAGGTTTGTTCCGCATCTCAGGAGTCTTGACTTTTCAGTCTCTTTCCTTTCAACTGATTTTGTTGCAGCATTAGGTTGAAATTTTTGAACTTTCACCGTGTCACTAATGGCGAACGGACCTTGCCTGCAGGCTCTGCAAAGTGAACCTGAATTCAGGTGGAGATATGTTTAATGTAAACTTCAGCAGAAGCAAAGGGGAAGCTATAGACTTTTAGTGGCAAATCAGTAAAAGAGGAAAAAAAAACCACCAAACCCTATAAAACCCATAAAACGAACAGGTGGCACTTTCCCTTGTGAAGTCTACGAACAAATTCCCTGACTTTTCAGTGAAGTAGAAGGAACTTTAGCAAAAGAATATTTAGGTCAGCAATGCAGAAACATTTGACAATTTGATAGAAGTTTCTTCATTTTTAATCTGAATAATGTGAAATATGACCCACGGTCTCTGACTTTCTTTTTTGTTGTTGTTAATTTCACATGCTTTTCAAAGCTCAGTAAAATGGAATATGTATGTCTAAGTATGCCTTACGCCATATTGCCATGAAGTGCTCATAAATTGCACATTGCAGATGACAGCTCTTGCAGGTAAAGTGGTTCATCCAGATACAGTGCCGAAGTGAGACATGAGCAGCGATCGGATTTTCTGATTTCTGAAACATACAATTACTCTTGTATATGAAAGGAAGCTGTATCTATGCCAATAACGTATTAAGAGAGGAAATTAATTCACTGTCCTAATTTCACCAGGAAGGTCTGCATTACAGAGATGGTAATAAATTCCTTCAGCATTTGCACTGTCATACCACATCACCTTTAAGATCTGTTATCACAGACGCACAGTAGCTGAAGCCTACTGTTGGCGAAGATTGTGGTTAGTGTTTTTGGCATTATTTTAGCTGCCTTAACAATGAAGTTGAATGGATATGAACTGCTAGAGAGTTTTAAGATACGATTCTTAGTTTATCTGGCAGAAGTAACAAACATGAGTCCAGAGACTTCAGAGTTCTTGAGGGCCACACTTGCCACAAGGTAGGATTCCCTGTGCTTCTTTCTGAGTAGTTGAGGCCGACACAAAGGAAGGAGAAGGAGAGGAGAATGAAATTAGGTACAGCCTCATCGTGCTTCCTGCTTGACCGCTGGCACCTCACAACGTCTCAGCACGGTGTGATGCCTTCTCCTTTCAGCTTATTAGTTGTGCGTGCTAAATGCAAGGAGAGGTGCTGTACTGTTCTACAGTCTCTTAGAGGTGTATGTTATGCCCATCCCTGGAGGTGTGTAAGAGTAGGGTCGTCATAGCACTGAGGGATATGGTGTAGTTGGGAACTGTTAATGTTGGGTTAGTGGTTGGACTGCATGATCTTCAAGGTCTTTTCCAACCTAGACAATTCTGTGATTCTGTGAAATATATTAATGTATCAACTTGCAGAATGGCATCAGACCAGGACATGCCTGTTGATCCATGATAACTTGTCTGTAATTCTGCTAGGGCATTTATAATGAGTGATGGATTTAACAGTGTAAAATTTTCTTATAATCTGCATGACTACATCAGCAAAAGATGCGGTGGAACTTGAGTTTAAATGGGAATAAAATTAATCTGAGTATAAAAATTATGCTTGTCTGAAATGTGAAAACTATGTGAATTGGAATGGGAGTTTTGGGTGCTTATGAATGCGAAAGAGTTCTGCAGTTACAGACTAACATAGTTAAATTCACAGCAATAAACTCTGCCTGTTGGAATAATTTTCCTGGGTTGTTGTCTTTCCTTTGGTTACTGTAAAAGATTGTCTTCCCTTCTTTTGTAGTCTCTGTGGGAAAATCTAAAATGACTGCTTATTTCAAAAGTCTCTTCTGTAGTTGTAGATGGATATTTTGATTTCAAGTGAAGTTGATACTTCAGATACCTGCCTCAAGCCAGAGGCCTGCCTCGCTTCCTGTCTACTGAAATGTAGTTTTGGGTCACACTTACAGAAGTTGTTAAGATCTTGTTAATTTTACTATGGTACAGAAAACATCTTTATGGGAAAGATGAGGTGATATCTTAAGAACCGTTTTAAAATATATTTAACACCTGAGACTTATTTGTGTCATAGTTCCTGCTTGATTGATAGGAAAAAGATTTACCTGAAGATTTAATTATAGCATGTGGAAATCTGGGTTTGCATAGGTACTATGAAATATTTAGATTTAATGCTTCCTTCTGACAAATTGTTCTGGGTGTGCTGGGGTTGGAAGGAGCTGGCAAATTTCATTAGAAAGGGCTGAAAACTTTGTGTCACCAGTGAAGAGTTTCAGAAAAAAAGTTTGAGTTTAGTGGGAGCAAATGTACCTTTAGTGCAACCAGGAGAAGTGATGGCGGTCACTGCAGTACAGATGACACTTCATCTCTCTAGCTGCCTGGAGGCTTCCATTGCCAAAGACCCTGTTGTAATTGTTCATGTTCTGAATTCTTAAAATCCAACCATTTTAATGTTAATAATTAATGTTTACAGAAGTTCATCTAAACAGCAAAGTATCCACGCTCTTTTTACTGAGGCCACCATATATTTGTAAATATTCCTTCCCCTTCTTCACACACCACATAATATTTGTCTGCCAAAGTTTGGAGTTGTTACTTCAGGTCATTCTTTAAAGCTTGCTTTTTTGTATATTTTCCCTTTCTCTCTTTTTAGGGGGAGAATGGCTGACAACAGTTCCTAGTTACTCTGTTAAGAGAATCTCACATTTTGATCAACAGTGTTGATGTGTGAGGTTTATTATGAACTCATAACTTCCAGTGAGTTTAAAATAAAATTCCAGTGAATTTTAAATAAAAGATCATTTTGATTCAGCAGTCATTTGGGAATCTATGTATGCCTTTAGGTGGGAAAGGAGGGCAAATACATGGAAATTGCCTCTGGAAATAATAATGAGGATGGTGCCCAAAGAAGCAAAAACTGGGAGTGTTGGAATTCTTGGTGGTATTTCAGAAGGGAAGATTCTACCTAGTAGCTGAAGAGCAGCAAAGATTTATTTTCTGGAAGGCTTTATTGACTCAACAGAGGAAAGAAACTGTGCTTGTAGAGGCTTCAGTTTCAGAAAGGGCTGTTTTCTGTGCAGACTATGTTCCTTTTCAAAGTGCAGTGAAAACCTTTCCAGTAACCACCTGGCTCCATGATTTCAGTTGCATGTCTTCCTGTCCTCCGTTCCCACCTGCCACAGTTCCCACAACTGCAAGGACAGAAGCAGCGTAACTAAAAGCATAAAATGTAAAATAGGAAGTTAACATCAGCAAAGTTTGCATTTATCTTTGCTAAGAGGGTGTGTGTGCCACCACTTCTGCTATGATGTAGCTGGTAGGACCATTCTGAGGAGGGGAACTCGAGGATAGTTTGGTTACTCTAGATCCAAGCTAAAATAGCGGTTTCAGGAAACTTAACGTCTTTCTTAAATAAGGGTAAGAAACTGGCATAATCCGATGGTGAGATACACCAGTTTCAAAGCACAATTTTTGTGACTGTAGTCCTAAGACACAGGTTTTCAGTTCATCTGTAGGATAGTCCACGTGTGTAAGTGCTGTAAAAATGATGGAGCACTTAGGTGCCTGTTTGCTGTCTAGTGAAGCTGTGGTCACACTTAAGAGAGAACTTTCTTTGTGACCAGCATGTTGGATGTAGATTCAACAGGACTGAATTAGATTGCCAGACTGTCTATTTGGTTTTTAGTAATTTAACCTGGGAAGCAACTTCAGAGCTACGAATATAAAGATATTGAGGCTAAAATCCAGCAATGAATATGAGGTGCTCAGTTCTTTTCATCCAGAAAGACATGTAAGTATGTAGCAAAGTAAGAGTTTAAGCAGCCATTTTCACTTCACAGATCAGTGGTTTTAGTCTGATGGGAATGAGCAGGTACGGAAGTGTAAGCAGCTGCAGAAACTGAATGAACAGGTAGAAGTGGAAGGGGCAAAGAAAAAGTAGTTTGAACATGGAATTGTACTGCCTCCCATAGATAAAAGGTTATTTTTGATAGAGTATGTGGTCGGATGCTTGAGCAGTTTCTTGCAGGGAGCGTATACCTGGAACCCATTGTACGGCAAAGAACAGTCTGGGGGTTTTGTGTCTAAATGCCTTCAATGACAGATGTGATAGATGTTTTTCTTTTCATAGGGAACAAATGCTTAAAAGGTTCAGTGTTACATTTTGAGTTGTGTTCTTTGTGGCACTAATGGCTTTGCAGTTTTTCAGGGTAGCTTGTGTATATCTTTATAGTTTCCAGAATGCTATTGCAACTAAAATTTGTTAACAGAGTTTCTTTGATTGTTTTAGAGGTGTATTTGACGCTTCCCTCAAAATGGCCGGGTTCTATGGACTCTACACTTGGCTGACTCATACTATATTTGGGATTAACATAGTCTTCATACCGTCTGGTAAGAATTTGAACAATTAAAATCTATTTATAGGTCATACTGCATAATTATTTTTTGTACAAGATCAGTAGGATTAAATGTTGCTGATAAGGTTAGTTTTGAGGTTATTTTTAGAGAGTGGCCATGGGTAGGGGGTGGAGAGAAGTCCCTGACTGCTGTCATACCTGTGAGATTCAACTTCTTTTTTTCACAATGCCTCCCCTGCCAGCTACTTTACTTCTCCTGACTGTTTCTTTTGCTGGATGGAATTCTTTCTCCCTCCTATTCAGTCCAGGTCTTTCCAGGTTTTAACTCCATTCTGCCTGCCTTGGCTTTTGCTTCTTCCATAGTTAACAGGTGCTGATTTCTCAAGACACCTACATGCAGGGAGATGTGGTATCAAGAAATGCATGATAGAGGTGTGCTGCTCATTCTCAGGACTGTTGCCTGACTCTTACCTGCCACTGGTTTTCTGTTATTCTTTAACCTTAGCTGTGGAAATGGCTGAAGAGTTTTCACTGAAAAATCTGCTACCCTATTCCTCTTTTGCCTCTCTTCCCCTAACAATCAAAAAAACACAAAACCCCCCAACTAATTAAAAAAATGTTGTACCTTCATGTATGAGGAAACAAAGGGGGAAGCTATAAAGCAACAAAACCCAATATAGTAGGAAATGACTGTATTGTCATGTGCAACTACTTAAAGGCGTTGGTTGTCATTAGACAAGTAAAAGGTAATTGTTCTTTTTCTTTCAGCTACATACAAAATCTTATAAGTGTTTGCTTTCTGGTTAATGAGACCATAAAAGAGAAAAAAAAAAGTATTTTTTGTATTGTGTTCATTCCTGTTGCATTAAATTAGCACGACAGCAGTACTGCATCAGTTTAGATTGCAAGGGGTATTTGTACAATCGGAAGGGCATATGCCTGTGTGTACATGTGTGCACACAGAAACATGTAAGTCATGGATTTTATACTGGCCTTGTTTCTCACAGTGCTACCTACATTATTTTATGGCTGACTGCAGGAGATCTAGGAAGTTACAGTGAGACTTCTGCTTGTATGTTTTCATGCTCACAGTGCTAATTTGTAGTTATGTGAAATTTTGCATTGTGCATGGTTGATATGACTAGATTTTTCTGAACTGGTGCCTCTTTTGGAAGTAACTCTTGATGACTGACAGTTGTTGAAGCTCTTCCGTATGGGAAATCGTGTTATTTTCTTTTTTTTTTTTTTTTTTTTTTTTTTTTTTTTTCCCCCTAAACAACAGCAATAAAACACCAAGAGCCTTGCGTGGCACTTCTTCCGTGTCTTATTTACAACAGTTGATAAAAGAGGGACTACCGGCGTGGCAAAAGTGTCAGAATTTAACTGTAAATATATCTGTGAAATAGGTTTCTCTGGTCTTTTTCTCACCTCTGCTTCTGTGTGCTCCAGCATTAGCAGCAATCCTTGGAGCCGTGCCATTTCTGGGGACATACTGGGCAGCCATCCCTGCAGTCCTAGATTTGTGGCTTGTGCAAGGAGAGGGATGCAAAGCCATTTTGCTCTTGGTTTTTCATCTCTTGCCCACCTATTTTGTAGATACAGCAATTTATTCAGATATATCAGGGTAAGTACATGAAAGACTTTTTAACGTTAGCATTGTAAAAATACTTAACGATCACTGATGCCTTTAATTAAACTTACTTTTCTGAAGTACGCAGAATAGTATCTTCAAGCATAGGAATAGGTGTAGTGATACCACCTCGTAGTAAGAAGTCTTACAAGCCTAAGTGCCTTTCTACCCCAGGCCTTTTTTCTGTGAATGTTGTCAATTTAGAGGTCTTGAGCTCCATCTCCAAGTCAGCAAAATCAACTGTTTTGGTTGGTAAAGTAATTCTAAGAATGTCTCTGCTATTTATCTAATCACTGACTAAAGATGTCTAGCATTTTTCTCTACACCACCTAATGCCAGATGACGCTGCAGAACAAACAAGAAACCCATGGGCTAGTTAGGGACCTGAAAGAAACACTTTAATATTTCAGAATGGATTGTGAGAGTTTGAGGACTTTTTTTTTTTTTTTTTAAGCCAGGCCTTGTGTTGTGTCACCATACCCCAGAGTAAAAATCTGTTCATTATGGATTGATCTTTCGTCAGACAGATGAAATTGCAAAAACTGGAGGTAGGCTTCTACTGAGACAGTAGCCAGTGCTCTTTTCCCATTGAGGGAGTTAGGCACCGATTGCTTGAAGAATCTTGCTAGGTGTGTGGCAGCCCCTATTGACTTGAAATCTCTCCTGGTTTCAGCTCTGCACACAGAGAAGCAAATTCCAAACTGTGGAGACAAAGCCAACGTTTGCAGTTGTTTCTGGAGTGTAACGGAAATGTGCACTGACATTTTCTGCTGCTGAAATATCTAGTGAATCCCTTCATGCAGTTCAGACTAGAAGATAAAGCAGCACTGTTTAACAGAGCTGGCAAAGATCCGAACCATCCAGTTTCACATGTGTGAGACATACTCACAACCATGTACAATATAAAGTTGTGCTCCTCTAGTTACTGCTTCAGTCTTGATCATCAGAAACAATCCCAGTACACTGTTGGAATTGAGGACTTTGTGCTCCAGAATTAGTGACATGCTGGTACAAGTCCCTCATTTGTGCTGATTTTTATTGTAATAGAGTTAATGTAGAATAAGGACATTACGTTAGAAATTAATATTTTTGTACACCAAATATAATTAGACTGAACAGAGGGGACCTATGTCTATGATGTAATAGGTCATGTTTCATGGTCTCATTCCACACGCAGTTGGGATGAAGGCAAAGACTGCCAACGTTGAGCACAAGTCAAGGTCATAGTAGAAATCTGGCAGAAAATGCCAGAGCTCTAAACGGACTCATTTTTATTCCATTACCTGCAAAATTTGGAGCAGCTTCCTGAAATTGGGTGCTAAGTTTCAACTGCAGCTTGTCTTATATAGTTCCATATTGCCATTGTTATTTTAACTATAAAGATTAAAGCATGACGAGTAGGTTTTGTGTAAATGCTGTTGACAGGACTCTTGTTGCGCACCCGAACTGAAACATGGAAAAAAAAACCAGCATGGCTTACTTGCTGCCAGAACGGCTCTTATCAAAAGCTCCATTGGCCCCGACTTTCCAGTAGATAGTAATATGTTCATAAGAATCTGGTTTTGTTTTTCATCTGAAAACATTAAAACCAATGATAACAAACACTCAGTCTGAGCGGTTGTTTTATAACAAATGAGAAGACATGACTATTTGTTTAAGGAATATATGTGAACTGTTCTTTGAAAGGTGCAGTGCAAGTAGCTTTCATCGTGTAAATTAATGTCTGTGCTCAGGGGCGCTCATACTACATGTTACTAGTTGTCTTAAAATTTAACTTCTTGACCATAAAGCCTGAACAATCCTTGTAATCATTCATCTTTCCATTTTTGAAATGGAAATGTTTTTCCCCTTAACTCCTTCAGGCATTCTTCAGCAGATGTCTATAAAGAACCTACTCCATTGTTGCCATTATAACCAGCATTATATGCTACAATACATTGTTTGATCTGTTGTGCAAATATATCGCAGGTTACAGCTTGGAATATTTGTGCAGCCAAACAGCAGCTCGTAGTGCTAATACGGGCATCTGTAGCTAGCTATGTCATTTTCTAAGCTTAATAAATCTTCATGATTAATTCACATTTCATAATTGATGGTATTGCTGGTTGTTCTTAATTTAATTTTATTCTGCTTGTGCCATAATTCCAGAGGTGGTCATCCTTACCTGACAGGTCTTGCGGTAGCTGGTGGAGCGTATTACCTGGGACTGGAAGGAGCCATCATAGGACCAATTCTACTTTGCATACTTGTGGTTGCTTCCAACATATATAGTGCCATGTTGGTGAGTCCAACAAATTCAGTGCCCACTCCATCACAAGCAGCGTGGCCATTGCAGATCTACCGGTAAGTTATAAATGTCTCACATCTGTGCATTCTTTTTTGACACGGATCAGTCTATGTATGCATAGGTATAGAGAACGGGTGAATGCATTTTATATATGAGCGTGCATATGTACCTCCCTGCATACTGAAGTGTTTAGAGAGGATTGGGCTATACTATATTCTAGAAATAAAAATGATGGTAAAGTGAAATACTCACTGGAACTTGTGAACTTGAAATGTTCATTTAATGTGTCCCGGGTTCTCACAGAAGGCTATTCCAGAAACTTTGCTTGATGATACCTTTGTATCATGCAATTTATATGCTGCTGTTATGCTAGGAGGTGTTTAAACATCCTTTTTTTCTGTGTAAAACTATTATTCATGGATATCTAATAGTCAGTGTTCGTTGACCTTGATAAGGGGCCTGTCTGCAAATATTGCCATTTCTGTGTGTTACTGTACAATAATGCAAAATGTAAACATACCTGAACCTAAAACATGAGATAACATTGTATGTCATTATTCCTTTAGAATATGGTCTTGATTAGTCTCTTTATTGAAGTTACCAAAGATGGAATATAGAAATGTGTCTTTAAACTGTACAGTTAAGGAAGAGGATGAATAAACTCCTAATTGAATACTTAATTAGAGTTGGGAATCTCATTGTGAAGTTATTAATGACAGTAGCCATTTTAATGTCTCTTCTGTCTTGTTCAGTTACATAGGTAAGCTCATTATACATACATCTTGAAGAGGATTGTGCTTGTCAGAAATAATCCTTAGCTTCATTCACATGAATAATGTTGTCATTTTTCATATGGGTAACTTAGGAGAAAAACCACTAATTGGACCTGTTGGAGACTCTGACTTTCTGTCTCTGCCATAGATAGAGCTTCCCACAGTACGCACAAAATCTGCCTGTGTGTTTGTTTCCTGTTCAATTTGTAGGAAACTCAGCAGATCTGAGTCTGTCTGTTGTTTTTTTCTCCTCCCTACCCCCCAGGTCATCTAGAGAGAGTCCTGAGGAGATGAAAATGTCTGCAGAGTGATGAAGGTGCTGTGCTGCACCTATTCAACGTGAGAGAATGGCTATCTTCTGTCTTGAGTTCACAACAGCCATGGCCTTGTGTCCCTTTACAGCTGTGCCTAGGAGCAGCTCACAGGGAAGCATAGCTTGGGTTTTGGAGAAACCACTTCTCGAACATCTGCTGGCCTTACATTACCGTGCACTTTGCCTCTTCAGGAAAGAATGTCTACTTCCCATGACTTTGCATACTAAGACACAGTTCAGATGCCTTCTTGAAGACCTTGCAGACCTTCTGTCTTCATAAAAAGAATAGTTAAGGACAGGTATATCCACTGGAGTCATTCTCTTATCTGCTGAAATGGTTAACTCTACTTTTATTTATTGGGTTATTTGTCTCATTAAACTGTAGTAGCTTTAAAAAAAGCTAATTCCAAAATATTTATTCTCAGTTAATCTGGTGGCAAAAAAGCTGTTAACCACTCGTTGTTAAGTGAAAGTAGAAGATAATTATTTGCTGCTCCTCAAAGTATTTCTTTAGAGGCTTTGACCATCATCTGTAACTCACAATAACACTTAAATATTATCCTCTTACATGCACTGAAATTTAATGTTGTTGAAGACCGGTATTTCTAACATCTTCCTGAAGTTAGCAGACGTGTATGTTGATAAGTGTGGACTTTACTCATACTGAAACAGGAGGCCTCAGTTACATAGTTTAAATCCTGCCCTCATTTGCAGTGAAGTCTGATAGTATTTTGCTCTTTACCCACCATCCCAGTGGACTCATCTTGTCAACTCAGTTTAATCAAAGGCCTTAAGTGTTTTCAGGCAGAGGTAATGTACGATTGTCACATCTACTTCCAGTAATGGAGATTGTTTAATGCTTGTTTTCAAATGCTGTGGCTGACTTCAGTTAATTATTTTAACAAATTTATTTCCAAAGAGGAAGGGGAGAGAGTATGGGTTTTGGTTTATGTTAGGTTTGTTTGGGTTTTTTGTTATTGATTTTTCTTGTTTTCTTCCCTGTAAGACTCTGGCCAAATAACTTACTAAGACGTAAGATATATCTTAATAATAAACTGAGTTCTTAACTTCCCAAAATGGTGTGTTGCCTAGGTCACAGCATCAAACTCCTCTAGTGCTTTGCTTCCATATGTAATTTTGCTTACATTGAGTTTCGGTGACATTTAAGGCCTTTTGTATTGATTGTAGAAATATTTTGCCACAATGGATCTTTTTAAATGGATCCTTTTCTAAGTAGGAAGTGGGTCTTTTTGTAGAAATTTCATACTTGAACAGCTTTTCCACAAATACAGTGAGGCCCTGGGTACAAACATCGAAGGTGCACATGCTTAACCAAAGAACCACCTTTCAGTTTCTAGTAACTTCTCTTGAATTCATTTCAGAATTGATAATGAGTTATACAAAATACAGGCATGCTTTGCACTTATTGTGCAATTCAACACTTGGAATAAAAATCTGTTCTTATCTAGGGATGGGGATATCTAAGATTTGCGTACAGACAGCTCTTCGTAACATAGGTGTTTGTTTTACTGGATTGCAGAAGTGCTGATAGTTTGAGAAGGTTCTTAACTTCATGACATTGCATGTATTTTTACATTGTTTCTAAAAATATATTGCCATAGAAAGTGAGTGGAAGGTACTCTGATACCTACTAAGCAACAAGTCCTGCTATAGGTTTGCAATAAACAGGCTGCCTATTAAGACACAAGTATCCAACTCATCAGATTCTCAAAATCAGCTGCTGCAATTTTACAGATGAAATTTTATGCTTAGACAGGGGGGGTTGAATATGCTGGTTGTAAACTTGCAGACTTACAGGTATATGTTTGGAGGACAGACTCAAGCTTAACCTAGTGGTTTGACTCAAGTTCACTGAAGTACGAAAACGTCCCATTTAACAGTTTAAATTCTGAAGGAGCTACACATCAGTTCCAACATTGAATAGGAAGGATGTATTGTTTGAACTAAATAACTGTCTTGTGCTTTCATTCCATTGGTTTTGTGGCTCACATAAAATCTTTAATGAAACACATTTTAATAATTGTTGCTGCCTAGGGTGGAGGATGACAAAGAGCCTGAGTCTGTCCCTAAGAGTTCCTGCAACATCCTAACCAGCTTGAATGAGACCACCATGATACTAGGGACATTTCTTTAATATATTACTTTTTGTTTAGTTCACTGTTTTGCACTGAAATATTGTCATCATGACTTCTTGTAGACAGCATTTAACAAAGATTACTAGCAAGAAATATGTGTCTTTAATGTATTCCCAGTTTTCCATTGCTCCTCTTTGTTCACTGGTCAAGACATTTCTATTTTCCATATTTGCTCTCCCAGTTACTTCTCAGACAATCTTTCAGGTTCTTATGATACTCAACATAGTCGTCTTAAAGAGTCATTATAAAGCATCCTTCTATTTGTCTTTTTCCTCCTCTCCCACCCTCTTCACCTGACCTCCTCAGAACAAAGAAGAGTGTCTGAAGATGAAAATTGTATTTCAGATAGTTACCTTCAATAATGGCAAATAGGTAAAATCAACTGAGAAGATATGTTGCTATTTTTAAATCTTCCTTTCCCAGTGTGAAGAGAAGGTATTTTGTGTAGAGAATTTATATCTGACGTACTCTTGTTAGTTTGTCCTCCTTTGAAATGAGCCTTGATACGGATGCTTCCTGTTTCAAATTCAGCTAAGACTTGCCATGAAGAACCCTCCACAGCACAGTCTTTCTCAGTAAACGTAGCTCTTGCTGTACCTGATTGGGGAACCAACTGTATGGTTCAGTGGTAGTGCGGTAACAGTATATCGCCAAAAAGAAAATAAAAAGAAGATACAAAATCTTCAATAATGCGTTTTGACAATATGAAATATTCACTGAATTTCACTATGTTTTAAAAAACCCCAACAAATCACCACTGTATGAAAAAGGATACCTTGATTCTTTTTTAGGGTTTGTCTTTAGTAACTATTTAATTACCATTATAAATAGAAGAACTTGTCCTTGCATATTTAACAATCTATATTATTTTCTGACAAGGCTCAGCCTCTTTAAGAACAGTTTACAGAAACACAGCATTGCAAACTCATCAAGGTTGGAAAAGACCTTGAAGATCATCCAGTCCAACCATTAACCTAACACTGACAGTTCCCAACTACACCAGATCCCTCAGCGCTATGTCAACCCGACTCTCAAACACCTCCAGGGATGGGGACTCCACCACCTCCCTGGGCAGCCCATTCCAACACCTAACAACCCCTTCTGGAAATAAATGCTTCCTAATATCCAGTCTAAACCTTCCCTGGTGCCACTTGAGGCCATTCCCTCTTGTCCTGTCACTTGTTACTTGATTATAAAGGTTCATCCCCAGCTCTCTGCACCCTCCTTTCAGGTAGCTGTAGAGGGCGATGAGGTCTCCCCTCAGCCTCCTCTTCTCCAGACTAAACACCCCCAGTTCCCTCAGCCGCTCCCCGTACGACCTGTGCTCCAGACCCTGCACCAGCTTCGTTGCCCTTCTCTGGACACGCTCGAGTCATTCAATGTCCTTTTTGTAGTGAGGGGCCCAAAACTGAACACAGGAATCGAGGGGCGGCCTCACCAGTGCCGAGTACAGGGGTCAGATCCCTTCCCTGTCCCTGCTGGCCACGCTATTGCTGACACAAGCCAGGATGCCATTGGCCTTCTTGGCCCCCTGGGCACACTGCTGGCTCCTGTTCAGCCAGCTGTCAATCAGCTCCCCCAGGTCCCTCTCTGACTGGCAGCTCTCCAGCCACTCCTCCCCAAGCCTGTAGCGCTGCTGGGGGTTGTTGTGGCCCAAGGGCAGCCCCCGGCATTTGGCCTTATGGAAACTCCTCCAGTTGGGCTCAGCCCATGGCTCCAGCCTGTCCAGGTCTCTCTGCAGAGCCTCCCTGCCCTCGAGCAGATCAACACTCCCACCCAACTGGGGGTCATCTGCAAACTGACTGAGGGTGCCCTCGATCCCCTCGTCTAGATCATCAATAAAGATGTTAAACAGGAGTGGCCCCAAAACCGAGGCCTGGCGGACACCACTCATGACCGGCCGCCAACTGGATTTAACTCCGTTCACCACAACTCTCTGGGCCTGGTTGTCCAGCCAGTTTTTTACCCAGCAAAGCGTGTGCCCATCCAAGCCTCAAGCAGCCAGTTTCACCAGGAGAATGCTGTGGGAAACGGTGTCAAAGGCCTTGCTGAAGTCAAGGTAGACATCATCCACAGCCTTTCCCTCATCCAACCAGCAGGTCGCCCTGTTGTAGAAGGAGATCAGGTTTGTCAAGCAGGACCTGCCTTTCATAAACCCATGCTGACTGGGCCTGAGCATCTGGTTGTCCCGCACCTGTTGTATGATGGTACATGTTGTATGTCGTTGTATGATATTTTAGATCAATCTCAGATTAATGTGAAAATAATCCAAGTGATCATTTTGACTTCTGGTCATTGTGACGTAGCAGTTCCTGGTTATATTGCCTCATCTGCGAAAGCAAGCAGCTGCTCTGTGGGATAAGTTGTTAGATGGCTTGTGGATTTCCAAAAAAAAAAATAAGGAAAGGGGGGAGGGGAAACTCCTCATACCCTTTTCTCTAGTGACATTAAACTACAATTTTCTTGAGAGAGACTGTCTTTTTCATACTGCTTATAGGCAAAAAGTTGATGGCCTTTAGTTTTACTGTAAACAGTCATTCCAGGAGCAGGTGTTTACTTGTTTTTAGTACATTTGGTTTTCAATTTGAATAAAAGCAATTTAGAATTCAGAAGAGAATACTTGCAGTAAGCCAAGCCAATGGGGTCTCATGGTATTGTGTAAAATACAGCTATGCTGGTTTTTATTACTCTCTTGTAGCAAATCAGGCTTGTTGCAAGTCATTGTAGTGGCAAGGGGCCAGATGTAACTGTTTCTTGTACTGAGCCTAAGTTAGCCCTTCTGCCCTTTCTTGCACCTTACCTGAACATTACTGTGCTGTGGCAGAACTAGCAGAAGTGAATGTGTGCCAGTTTGCACCTGGCACCTTATCTTCAGGGCACTGTAAATACTGGCTTAATTGAACACATGAAGCAACAAGCTGCAGTGGGGCAAGAATCTGGCACACATTTCCTTTTGCCAGCCCTACTACAATATGGTGACTTTCAGCACAGATGCACCACGACCAGTTGGGAGCAGTGATGACTTACTTTGAGAGACTGCTTTTTTTAAAAAAAAAAATAAAAATAAAAAATTAACATTATAGTCATTCATATGATACACACTTTTAAGAAATCAAGTTAATACTCAGGTATCTAATAATGGAGATAACAGTCAGATATTTCCATGTGCAATGGTATGTATTTGCAGCTCATCTGGGGTATATTTAGGCTTGTCTGATTTCAAGGACTGTATGTTTTCTCTTTGAGGGTTTGGGGAGGAATGTACACTTACGTGTATTTTGCCAGTGATTACTGGATTAGGAAATCCATAATCTGTTTAATTAAACAAAATAAGAAAAGAGCATTGTGTAGGGAAAATTGGATGCTATTATTTCCAGTATTATGCATCGTGGGTATCAGTGTAACTTCTGAAATAGGTATATGGCTGCAGTGTTAAACATTGTTTTTCAGAAAGCCTGAAAACACAAAGCTGGATGAAATGGTTCCCCAGTAAAAGCAGCAGCAGAATTGCTATGCTGCTAAACCTTAGTACTGGTGACAAAACACTGCCAAGAGTGCTGCCTTTCCTATGGACCTGATATACTAAGGATGGGAAAATACTGTTATTCTGCTGAGGCTCTGTAGCTTTGCATCAGTGGTAGAAGATGCTCCCACAATTGCCTTTACTCAGACATGGTGTTTATATGACATTGGCTTAAGTTTTTCACTGCAGATAGTGCCAGCTTTATGGATACTACAGGTTCCTTCAGAAGGTGCTGAAAGCTGTTGGGATTGGTGTTAGTATTCATTAAGTTTAATAATGGAGGTAGCATTCTTCTTCTAGAGTTGCGCTTGTTTGCCTTGAAGTTTGCGGTTTTACAAGAGAAAATTGATTTCCCAGTTAAATAATCTTCCTTGAGCAATAGGTGGCAGCTCTTAAATAAATCCGTGGATGCATCATGTTTATAAATTCTATCTCGGCTTGTATTTCAAAGGATTTCTGGTTATTATTATTTCTTACACTTTTTTGGTGAAGCATACTTTGGCAATGCCCCTCTTTCTTTTATTTTTGCAAAACTATAATTTCCTAAAACTCTTAACAAATATTAGGGAAGCTTGATCCAATACTGTTTCTGTGTTCCTTCTAGCAAAATGAAGTAATGCTTTGTGGTAAAATTCTCCAGAATTGCTTTTAAGTGTTTTATTTATATATATATATATATATATATATATATATATATATATATATATAAAGAAAAAAAAAGGCAATGTGGAAAATGAACTAGGTATTTTGAAACCAGAAACAATGCCAGAAGTGATGAGCATAATCAGGGATTCTACACTGGGTTTGTAAATGTATATTTTGATATGCAGCATTATATAAATATAAGCAGCGTCTGTCCGATTCAGACTTTTAATTGAAATTTGGTCCTATCTTTTTTTTAAGTTACCTGAGAACAAAGCAGCACCTGCATATAGTGAAAACAAGCAACCTGTTCTAGAATTAATGTTTACGTAATAAAGGTTGGAGAAGAGCCAAGCAGGTAGGGTGACTAGAACTGTTTTGTTGTAGTTAATTTAAAGTTGGGAAAAGCTGTTCTTCCATCTAGTAATACATTGCGCAGAGATTCTACTCCTGGAAGTATTTGCCCACATCTACTAAAGAGCTGGCCAAAACTAATAGGTGATGAAACATGTCTTCAGTTCCCCTGTCTCTTAACCTCTGCCACACCTTGTCTGGTATCTTGTTTTGAATCTGGTTTAACACATGAGAGTATTGCTTCATCCTCTTTTGGGGTCGATTTCAGGACCTGAATGGCATGCTTTGAATGTCCATACTGAAATACTATGTCCAATTCAGGCAGGAATTGCTAACTGGCAAGTAAATGCATCCTTGAAGGGCTCTGCGTATGGATAGACTTGGGCAAGCATCGTTCATATTTCACTAAATTAGAGATTATTCTTTGAATATAGCTGTATGTGGCAATGCCAAAGGTAGGTTTGAGTTGGAAGCAGGGCATGTTTGCTTGCAGCAGGATGCATCTGCAAGCTAATAAAGGCAGAGTGAGTTCTCTAGCATCCATGTATATAGCTGAAGAATTCTCAGCATGATGGTTTTAAAGCAAAAAAGTTGCTTGCTTTTCCTAGCCTCACTTATTGCCACTTGACTGTTGTATACAATGATCCAATGAGGACCTAAAGTCAAATTAATTTTTCATGGTATTGGTGTAGATTAAATGTAAGAGGCATCACAAAGCTAAAAAGCAGCCACAGAACAAGTTTATTAAGCTTAAGAACTGACATCCAGGCAGTTGGAAAAAGTTGGAAAAAACAATATCTAAATGTTTGGCTTCCTTTCTGCCATTCTTGGCCCCAAACTGAAGCTTTTTCAAGAAGTATCAGTATATTTTTGCATTGTTTATAACTTACCGGCTGTGTAGATCAATGTTTTCAGGTTCCAGTGTCGTCAGTGGTATATTCAGCAAGCATACAATTTGTTCTGATTGTTACCTTTAAAAATGGATTTTCTATGCTTCAGTGACAGTTGGAAACCAACTTTTTGTACTACCAGTTAGGTGTTTACATATATATATATATATATATATATATATATATACATGTTAAATTAGTGTTTGATGTTTTGGTTGGAAGACTAGGGAAGGTTTTTTTCCCTTTGGTAAATTTCACCAAATCAAATCCAAAGAAACTACTTTTGACATCAGGCCCTAAGTCGGGCCAGACCCTACTCTAACCTAACAGCATTTGGATATTTTATTGCATTACAGAGTGTGGGTTGTTCTAAAGCGTGCATTCCTACCCAGAACCCGTGGGGATTTGGAGCAATAACTTCTGTTGTCTGTTGGCACAAATTTTGTCTGTCAGTGTACATGTGATACAACTTCAGAATGGAACTATGTTCAAAACTGTTACCATAATTGGTTTTGGTACAGTACCTGGTTTTGCATGTGTGGTATTGAAAATGTAACCCCTGTGTCCCATCTGTGGCAGAAGAAAACGTGTGA